TTTCTATATTTGAGCCGTGTCATGACAAAACCAACATAATGGGTTTGTGACCAGCATGGATCCAGACCAGCCTGCGCATCCTCGCAGTCTGATCAGGATCCATGCTGTTCGCTATCAGTTTCTCAACTTGTTATAGGGTTTGTAAGCGAACAGCATGGATCCTGATCAGACTGCGCGGATGCACAGGCTGGTCTGGATCCATGCTGGTCGCAAACCCATTATGTTGGTTTTGTCGTGACGTGGCTCATTTGATTTAAATGTTGTCATTTCTAAAAGTGACGAGTCTTCATGCAGTAACAGAATAGGTAGTCTGCTATTTACGAAAGACCGGTGGGGACATTTCAACGTCATGAATTCCCGATTTCAGCTTCATGAATTCTCGATTAAAACTTGAAACTTGAACTCATGAGGTTAAAATCGTGAATTCATGAAGTTGAAATCGTGAAATATTGAAGTTGAAATCGTGAATTCACGAAGTTGAATTCGTGAAGTTGAAATCGTGAATTCGTGAAGTTGAAATCGTGAATTCATGAAGTTGAAATCGTGAATTCGTGAAGTTAAAATCGTGAAAACATAAAGCTTAAATCGTGAATTCGTGACTTCCGTATGTTGAAAACGGGAATTCACGAAGTTTAAATTGTGAATTCATGAAGATGAAATCGGGAATTCATGAAGTTGAAATGGCCCTACAGGTCTTTCATAGCTATTTCATTTTTCCTATTCATATGTAAAGTTTGTACAAGCAATATCACATTCATACGTTCCGTTCCGCTTAATATTATTACTAGTATTCTACGAGACATATAAAATTTACACTTTGCTGCGGAATGAAACGAATTCACAATGAATAGTTTTGAAGACATGGTTGCTACGCAACGCTGACTGTAATATTGATATTTCAGTCTTTATTAGTGCATGTTATTTAAAATTATATATGGCAAACATATTATTAAATCTTATTTGATTTTTACGATAATTGTATAAGGTCCAACCCGCCCACTTAGATCAATAGGTAGTAGCGTCGGTGTCGCGAGTTCAATCCTTGGGCAGGCAATGTTCTCCGTGACGATTTGATAAGACATTTAGTCTGCCATCATTTGTCCTCCACCTCTGATTCATGTGGGGAAGTTGGGAGTTACAAATCTTATTGCGTTCCGTTTCGCTAAATATCGTTATCCTAGGGGATATTTATACTTTGCGGAAGGAAATGGAATCACAATATTTTTTAATAGTGCTGTAGACATACATGTAGTTTGTACACAACGCTGACTGTATAGTGTTATTTCAGGTTTATTTTAAATTATATTTGGCAAACATGTTTTAAATTTAATTTATTTATGATGATCATTAATAATTTTTAGAACTTCATATATCTATAAGGAGTATGTTGGATATACCGGCCATTCGATACATATTAAATAAGGTCTTGATATTACCAAAATATATTAAGATTGTCTGCATTTGTCAGTTTTTACAGAGTCTTTCAATATTCTATTTGAATAATAAAATATAAAAGTACTGCAACAACAGTGAACAAGTGCGAAACATTTAAATACAGAAATTTTATGGCGATAGGATTTCCTAGATTGAATAAGTCAAGAACATGGTAAGTAATTTAATTTAAGTGTTGTCATTTTTGCGACGGACGCGCCCTCAGGCGCGTTCAGAGCTAAGTCATCTACATGGGATTTCGTCTGCTACACTCGCGCAAAGTGTCCTCAACCGATTAACAGCCCAAGAAAAAGTACATGAATTTGATCCTTTAAAACTCCCATACTATGTCGGGATATCTTAAAATCTTCCATATTTAGCCTTTTCAATTTCAAATTAAGTTATCCAAGTTAAAATATGGACGTATATGATTGATAAAAACGTTGTAGTCCCGTAGTATTATTGCGCAATTATGCAAATTACTGCCGAAACGATTTACCGCTGTCGAAAAAGTAGGACAGCAAATTATACTATAATAAAGGTGTATGCTCTGAGTTCCAAGAAATTATTAGTAGGAAATAAATATTTCTACATTATACAAAACATTATTATTAACAAATCAAAAGTTTTTTGGACTCTAGAATAACTCGCGCATTAATAAAAGAAGAACTATTTTCGTGTCTCATACCGCGGGTTTAGCTGAATATTCAGCAGTTATTAATAAATTAGATACATTTTCTAGGTCACGATATGAGTTAACCTTCGCTATTTCTAAAATAGATTCTGCTTTACCTGTGCTGATTTTCGGACAGTAGGAGTACACATTATACATGTTATAAACCAGCGGATACTTACTTTGTTCACATGCAATACTTTTAGAAATTCTATACAATTGTAAGAAGCAAACAAGTTGAAAATGTAATTAAGTGTGAAAATGAAAAGGACAACTAAACACTATAGTGCTTTTAAAAAAATTGTGACATTTAGATTAAAATAAAAACGATGTGCTCTGGCCCTTGCAAATAAAAAAAATCTAAAAAATACGGTGACTATTAATTGCTGATGATTTTAACCAAAATATTTTTAATTAGACGTACATATCCAAAAGAAATAAAAATACAAATTACTTATATTTTATTGTCTATATGCCCACTATGTTAAAAACACGAAGCAATTCTAAATAACTTTCTCACAATGTATAATCACGGATTTATCCGTGGTTATAATGTATTATGCTTGAAGTCTATTTGCATGGTTTTATTTTAGAAATATGTCGTTGAAAGTTTTTTTTTTTTATTCCATTTACATATCATTTCTTGGAATAAATCGATAATGACACTGATTTACAAGTTTGACCAGGTTTTAGGCATATATTTCAATTCTGCTGAAAGTAGAAAATCTGGATTATATCAGATTGGGACACAAAATATATATTGCTCCTTGTATGGAACAAATTTTCTCTGTTATATATTTTGTGTTTTTTTTTTTTTTTTTTTTTTCTAAAAAAACCCTAAATGTCTCCCCGGTTGCATGTCCGTCGCATTCAGTGCTGCAGCACTTTGATTTCTAATTGTATTTGTTTGGACATTATACTATTTGTATACATTGCTTGCAATGTGTACAGAGCTATAAGCTAAATCTCCACAGGCGTCGCAGGTTTAGCCTCTACCGAACAACATCCACATCCGGATAAAACCGCTATAGAAACTAGTTCTCCATTCTGCAGTATTGTTACATTCCGACTACACATCATTAAAATATTGTTTGCAAAGTTGTTTTAATGCTCTGAAAGTTCCAAATCGTTCATTTTCATGAAAACATAGGCTCTACATTCCTTTAAAGAAAACAAAAATAACAGATCATTGATAAAATCGTAGTATATACCTACGCGTTAAACTTCGCATATACGCATGCGCTTGCAAGCATGAATGAATACATCGTAAATATAGTAAAGTTGTCAGAATTATATAAATGGGACGAAACATCTAGATAGATATTTAATCAAATACAATTTCTGATTTACATTTATGCAATAAAATTGTCCTAAAATGTTATACAAAATGAGTATGGAGCTCCGTAACCGTAACCGATTTTTTTTTTAAACCTGGCAATTATCGTGGCTTCGAAAAATAGAAATTTCTTTTGAATACCTTTTTACACATGCTTTTCCTTTCACTTTTGTATGCCTTAGATTTTTGAAAAGAAATATGTTTCAAAATTCAGCGTTTATTGCCTGATTCAGTAACGAGTAAAAAATAAAGATTCGGCCACTCTACCCATAACAATTCGTCGAACTTGGGGATATTGTCGATTAAGCCAGAGCATGGAGAGTCGACGATAAGAAATAATCATTTGAAACCAACTGCAAATCAGTGTAAGCATTAAGAAATAAATACATTAAATTTATGTTCAGAAAATAGGAAAATGAATTATTTTAATCTGTTTATATTAATTTATATTAATTAATGTATTGATCTGTTTATAGTTTCCAATTTTGTTCTGTTAATTCTGTTCTGGATGAACTACTGCAGATTAGTTTAAAACTTCAAACATGTCCTTTATCATTATAATGGTTCAATATTCAAAACCTATAGATACATATGAACTTTTGTATAACATGACTTTGACTAAACTCAATTCAATTTGAATAATAAAGTCCTGTTTTAAATTATGTTTTGCATGCAAAAAATCTACAGAACTACTGAAATATTCACCCCCCCCCCCCCCCCCCCCCCCCCCCCCTTGAAACAGGGTCTTTCAAATTTATGTTTGAAAGACCCTGCTTGAAACAATTTTTGATTGAGATATAAATTATAACAGAAGACCCATCACTCTAAGTATGGATTTGACTGAATGATAGCCCTTTTAGAATCTCACATACCACAATTGTTATTCCTGGTCAAAGAATTTCACATACTTTAGGGCAATAATGTAACCATTGCTGTGTACATTATTTAGCTACAATGTCACTACTAAAGTTTTATGAACAATTATTTAGTTTTTCAAATCATACTTAATTTTGCTACATGTACATACCGGAAGGTTTGCCTTTTTAAAGGTCCCTGAGCTCGCTTTAAAATTGCTCTTTTTAGTATCTAATCGTATTTAACATACTGTAATAAACTTAAAGTAGGGAACCTATAGTTAACTTATGTGATACTGTAAGAACGATGGATGTACGATGGGTATATAGGGAAATATAAGACTACACAATGTAGATCCCTATAGTACTGTATGGTGAACATTCCGGTCGACAGGAAAAACGATATACATACTAAAGGATAATGCTAAGAGTGCATTTAGCAATGTAAAAATGACAAAAATGGATAATATTACCACGGATTTATATTATATAAATCCGTGACATTACCAAGCAATGTATACCACAGTGCTTTCAGTGCTTTGATTAGATTACCTTCCGATATATGACGGAAAGGAACGAAGCGGTCTAACGGAAAGAGCCGATTAGTTACGATTGCTGATTGACCGGTGTAGTCAGTGAATTCATAACGTGTAAAAATTAAAGCATCAGAACAATTTGAAAGGAAAGATGGAAAGACGAGGAGAAAATGGAAATGTTGTACGAAATCACGCACAAGGTATGTTTTCATCAATTACTTTTTGTTCAGATATGGTGATTTAACTTTTATATCAGATAAGAAGTTATTTTATTTTGGGTTGTTTAACATAATTATTGACCTGGTGTTGTTCATGATGAGTAAAAAACAGCTGAACAACAAATTATGTATTGAAATGCAACAATATGGGATGCGGTTATACCGGATCTTGGGTAATTTAGTTCATTTTTAGATATAAATAAGTTTCTAAATCTTCAAAAGTTCCTTTAATTGAAAATATTAGAAAAAGAAGACTAAATTTTAAGTTAAAAACTAGAACAAACATGTGACAATGTTTTTACAACAATGGCTTCAATTACAGCATAAAAACGACGACACTCCTATCATTATAGATCTACATCGCGGACTGAACACACACAGAGGATCTACTTAATTAATGCAAGAGGCCATACTTTAAATCTAATATACATAGATAAGTAAACAAAAGACATAAAAGTTGATATTTGTATTCACCATGAAGGAGTGTATTTTGATTTTACAATTTATGCTTGCGACAAATGAGATTAACAAGTGGCAGTATTACGTCTTGCAATTCTGTATGAAAGGTTTTTTTGGTTAGTAGTAAACAATGTACATAAAGAGAAATATAGACGGATTGACAGTTTCCGAACAAGCAGACGACAGGCTTTTCTTATGAGTAGAATTGCAAGTAAAGATAACCAAATGCATATCTCACTGTATAAAACATATGTAAAATGGTCTTGACTTGTGGTAGGTTTAACTGTAAATTTAAATACCTTCAGTGTCAAACAATGTGTTGAAATATATACTGAGACGAAGCTAAGATTACAAGCTTTTCATTGGCGTAATATGTTTTAAAATCGGACAATAAATCGCCCCAAACTAGCGGTTTAAAAATGGCTAAATTTGCATTGTTTAGCATTAGAGATATCGATTTTGCTTGAAGCTAAGGGAAACAACTCTTGTTTTTTCACTCGATATACCTCGGTTATTAACGTAGTTCATATAGAGACTGTCAATGTAATTTATCTCTAAAAAATGAACAAAAAACTGATCAAAATAACCTATTGGGCCATTTCAATAAACAATACATAAATGCATCTAATACCACTGATAACTTTTTTAAATCACATACTTTTGTAGGAGTAAACATTTTCTGCTTATTTCTCGTGATCTAAGTTTTTGCAAACCCATTTCGTGATGTTTATCACTATATACTTATAGGTGATAAATTTTTTGGATATTATGGTTAATATTGGTTATTTGATAGAATTTTCAAGTTCCTGTGATTTGATTGACCATCATGAAAAATGTATTTATGTAATTTTTTTTATAATAATAGCATATAACTATATGAATGAAATCTGTTCTGATGGATTGATTGGCTGTCAATTGGATGCAAACTAAAGAATTGCTAATCTAGTAGCCCAGTTTAAACATTATTGAATAATCTCAACAAAGACAGAATTAATGAAATAAATTCATCACTTAAAATATAGAATTTGATTATGAAAAGTAGGCAAAGCCTATGAATGGGAAAATCAGATAAAAACATTTCATTCATTTTTTATCCCACAAAATTTGTTTAATAGGGGTCATTTTATATTACATGAACTGCTTTCTGTTTACAATCGGAACACCATGAAGATTTTCTTAAGCCGAAAAGTTTCATTATCACTGAAAATCAATTTTGATTTACATTAAAAATGGGGCACCCATTCTAGAAAAAAGTAGAAATGACACGGGAAAATTTCCACTGGATAGAACTTTATATATATTTCATTTTTTTTTTTTTTTTTAAAATTTGATTTCCTTTTAAAATATTTTATACACATGTAGTCTATAAGCCCGGACTTCCCCTAATGAAATTATTGTCAATATTTAATAATTTCCCTTGCCATTAACAAGCTATAATGAGCCCTTTTTAAGTAATGAGTAAGTGTATTGCAACTTGTCAATGAATCATATATATATATTTATATATACATTGTATTTGGTTTGAACATTGTACTTTAGTTAAAAACATGGCATTGCTTCTCTATAAAAAAATTTTAATAGGCTGTAACCAAATGGCAAAACTTTTGAAACTAGCTGCATAAATTGATACAAGAAGCCTTTATTTTAAATAGGTTTACACATTTTAAAAAAGGTTAGCTACTAATAAGCCTATTTTTTGACAATAATAATAAGTCTTAGTTAAACTTGATATAATTTGGATAAGATATTTATATGCCCTTTTAACTAGCTGGATTCATAAAAGCATCATGTTTAGAATAGTAAACATTAAAGTAATTTGTTGAATTGCACCATCTTAAGTTCTACATATAGTTGGTAAAAAATTGTCACAAAATCGTTTATTTGTGTATTTCTTCACAGTATTCACAATGACACAATAGATACAAATGTAGTGATAAAAGGGTTTAGTCTATTTCAACAAGCCTTTGCTGTTTGTTAAACCCTATAAATAACCAGTATATTAATAGCCAGGATTTCTGAGTTTCTGCACTTAAAATTAATTGAGGGTCCATGTTCAGCTCCTGTTTTGTGCCTTTAGATTTTTTGTTGCTTTAGTGCGGGCATTAGATTTACCCTTGTTTAGGTTTACAGTTGTGTATTCCAGCATTTCAGTATTAGCATCTCCCAATAAAATTGAATAATGTCAAACCCCTCAACTAAGGACAAATGTTTTTTTTAATATATAAAAATGTCAAGACTTAACAGTCGGACCACCCACTTCAGACAACTTATAAGCATAGCTCCATGGTAAAAATATCTACCCCCCCCCCCCCCCCCTGAGCGTTTTAAAATATTTTCATGAAATTTGGAAACCAAAATAATGATAAGTACCATACACATCATTTGTAGGAATTTCATTATAATAGAAAAAACATTTTAAATGTACTACATGTTTAATGACACAAAATTATCAGGAGAGAAAGCAAGATAATAGAATCCGGATATTCTGTCTAAGTCCATAAGCGCAGATTCTAAACAAGTTGTACATCAGTACATCAGTAAGATAAAAAATTCTTGTACTACAGTGAATATGCATCTGTATAAAATGAAAAACTGTGTTTTCTTTTTTCAGATGCAGGAGAAGGATGACAACACTTTTGATCAACAAATTAAAGTAGCAAAGACTTGTAAATGAAACACAGGTATTTTTTTTCTAATAAAATCGTTGGGTGGGGGGGGGGTTCAGTAAACTTAAAGCCAAGAATCTAATGATACATGTATATATAAGCACCTTTGTTGAAAGAATGACATTTGTAAATTTTCATGAAAGCAGGTGGTACATTCTTGATCTTTTTTTAGGGACAATTATTATCTTGTTGTCATAATTTATGGGGTTTTATAGTTAACAAACAAATCATAGGATGTGATGATATTTTACAACAGATTATATTACAATGCTACTCACTGTATTTGTATTGATCAAACTCTATGTTAAACTCCAGAGAGTTTTTATTTGGAAGAATTAGCAGCTGTTTGTGACATTTAATTTGCATTTCTCAGTTTTATATAGTGCTGATATTATTTTCACATATATTATGGTCAGTAAATGACAGACATGCAAACTGGTGATATTTTTTGGTGTTGTAACACTTTTTATTCAGCACTTATTAAATATACAAGTAATGCACAATGAATCACAAGGTAACTCTTTTGCTAAAACGTTCTCCATTTATGAAATGGCCTTAAAATTATGGTAACTAATTACTTTGTGATTCAATGCAGGATTTTTTTCTCTTCACTTCGGGAACATGACCAAACCCCCAAATTTTTACGATGTTTTAGACATTGATTTAGAAAAAACTGCCACAATATCGTATTTATAATATAGGACGAAGAAATCAAATATTCGATTTATTAAACTCCTTTATTATGTTTGACTCATAAGTACATATTACAATAATTTGGAATGCAATTCACCAAGATTACAATTTTGTATGTCACAATGCAGTCAAATTTAACAAAATTACAATAATTTTACTTATTTTATTTTGTGTTCCTAGAATTTGGAATTTTCTCCTTGAAATTAGGGGGATACATAACTGATATAATGTAAAAAATTAGCCTTCTTATTATGATTATTAGTGAGTTTCGAGAATAAATTGTAATGTTATACAGATTGTTTCATATGTTTCAGTGGTAATTGTAGGTCTGAATCCTGTGAATTGTTAATGTAAAAACAGTTAAGTATTTGTGTAAAAATACTTCATATTTCCTTCCTGATATCTAACAGGGTATTTTATGATTCATATTGTCATGAAATATAGAACATTAGAGACCTTACAAAGAACTAGGTTCATTGTTGATTTAATCCAAATTGCATGCTTGCTTCAAAAATGACTTGTCACAAAGGGCTATGAGGCCCGATTGCACTGACTAACCAAAACTGTACAATTTCTCACTTCTTGAGGGTTTTCAACCTTTTTGATCTTTTTGAAACTGAAATATCTCCGACTCCCAAAGCAAGAGACATTTAATTTAGAATTAAGGTACATGTATTGCTTACAATTATCATAGTGTTATAAATCATACATGCAAACTCATGTTAACCTTTCGCCTGAGTCTACCCATATGACCAGTGCCGACCATCATAAGTTGGCGCGACTGACAGTTCATGGTCTGCACTCTTTGCTATTCAGACAGTATATATTTTGAAAATTTATGTATTATTATGAATGGTTTTGTTCAGACTGAAATTCCATTTAAGATATGTAGCATAGTAAGGGTTTATAGTATTATGATTTATCTTTATGTTAATGATGACTAGACAGGAAGTTCAATGGTGAGATTATAATATCTTGATCTTATGTAAACATACGAACATACGTCTGGTCTGTCCATAATCTATGTCAGTGACCTAAAAGATGCTTGACCTCTTCATGTCATGAATTGATGATAGAAAGAAAGGAAAAAGGTTTCATGGCTTATTGTCACATGTATGGAAATTACAAGTTTTTGATATATTTAACTGGCTTGAACTATAATTTATTAGCCATTGCCACTTGAGTGTAGTGGATAGCCAACATGCACAATTCTGTGTAGCCTAACCAAGTTTCATATTGTTGGTAGCTTGATTTCTTCTAAAATTTTGATATTGCAATCCATTTAACTTTCAAATGTTAAAGTTAAGTGAGTTCATAACTCAAATTGAGCAAGTTAAGATTGCCATCTATCATAAGCTATGTGTATATAATTTTCCAAAAAACATCCTGTTGGCTCTGTAGTATGATCTTTTAGAGAAGCTGTTTTGTCACGGGTCAGTGCTCAGAATGGTCATAAGAACTTGAAGAAGGTGGCCATAGACCAAAATGACAGTCACAAATGCATTTTTGCCTGTCTCAAAACTTACAAAACACTGTTGTTGTATGGCTGGTTTAACCAACAATGATTGTCTCAATTTCAAAAGAAATAATGGCCGAAAAATTTAGTGACAACTCTGATTGCAACATTTTTATTATCATTAGATTTTTTTTTTAAGGAAGATGCTTTGACACATCCAACAAACACACTATATACATCTTTCTTTTATTTTCAGAAATTCCGAGAGGAAATATCGGAGAAGATAAAACGAAACATTGAAGATTCGTTCGATTCATTCCTGTCGGACATTGAACTCATAAATCAGTCTGTTCATGATGAAAATATTAACTTGTCTTTCTCAACAAATAGAAATACGTATGTATTCTCAATATCTTTTCTTTATATATTTCTCTTTCTTAAAGTTATATTTAGATTCTAAAGAGGAAGGTTTATGATAAACTTTATCTCTTTTAGAGTCCAAAAAGGGAGGTAACTATAGTAAAAAATGTGTTCTTTTGTCAAGAGTATAGTATTTTAACATTTACTTATTTTGTCATTTGCCTGTTATTATGTTGTTGTTTTGTTTATTGGTAAATGTCATTTTCATGTACATTTGTTTATTTATATGATCTATGTGATAATGTCAGTAGTATGTAGCATGGTTTGACATTTGAATTTACAGAAATATTGGAATTATGGTTTGAATGGCATTTTACATACATTTTGAAAAGGGGAATATTAGTTTAAACCTTATTTATTTATACTTGAAAAGAAAGCTTGTAGCTTATTTGGCAACACAAGTCCACTTCCCAAAACAAGTTGTACATTTTACCTGATTTCATATGATGAACGTTGTTGTTACCCAAGTAGGGATCATACACACAATCTCTGAGATCAGAGGCAGACATGGTACACCTATAGCTCTACACACAGTGTTTGAGATGTCTGCTAAGTCTGCAGATTCATTCATCTGAGCTCTTATATGGTCACAACCATATTCACCAATTAAAAGAGCAGAATTGGTAGCACTAACTTTAATTGGAAAGTTTACTTATAAATTGGACATATATAAATATGTTTGAATTAAAATAAAACAGTGTAATTGGTACACAACAATGTACATACATTGTAGTAATCTAAATTACATATCGGAGGTAAAGAAAAGGGAAGATCTTTATTAATTATAGTCATTTTTTTTCTACTTATTTATTACATCTTTATTCAGTTTGTCTAAATATACCAGGTTGTTAAAATCTAAACCAAACTCATACACATTTCTTAATAATATTCAATATATGCGGAAATGAAAACATATATGTAACAGTTATAAATTTCACGATTAGAGTGTTTTTTTAACCAACCTCTATATCATTGTTAGAATATCTCTTTGTATTTCATATCTGGGTCATGTGACTTACTGAATGAATACTGTACCACAAATACAAAATGTAGTATGTTAAAAGTCAGTGCACTTAGATAAGAGGATATTGCTACTTGATTATAATGATAGTTTTTAAAATCATGAACTGTAAAATTAAAAACTTTTGTGAGGACTTAAATTTTGTTATTTTTCTAAATTGAAGATTCTTGCATAAAAAAAATAATATCCAAGCACCATAGAAATTGAAAAGAGCAAAATGTAGATATGGTATTTGCTAATAAATTGAATAATAAGCCCGTCAGTTAGTCTGAAAATTAAAATGTTGATTTCTGGAAGTTTTGCACTTGCAAGAATAATTGATTTTACAGAATTTATACGAAAAACAATTGTTTAATAATGAGAAATAATTATGACGTTTTTCGATGAAACGAAATGAAACATTTATGTTTATCATCAAGGAATATCTTCAATGAAATGCCTGACAAATAAAATGAGATTTAAGTACACTAAAATGAGATATAATGGACAATTACTAGGGTTGATTGACTGCTACACTAAATGTATTATTTTGTAAAAGCTTATCAAAGTAAATATCAAACATTTAACAAGTACTTTTTATATTTTTTCCTGGTTCAATGAACGAAGAAGTATATCTTATCAATGATGATTGTTCAGATACTAAATGGTTATTGTTTTGTATCATTGTCATTTAAATATAGACTAAAAGGGCTGTTTGTTGGGACTGATGATGTTAAAAATGTGTCTGTCTGAAAGCCATTGTTATTCTGTGTGTTCATAAGTTGCTTTTGCATAAATTATGTGATTCCAAATGTTATATTTCTTCAAAATATCCTTCCATGTATCAAATTTAATGCTTTGTCTTTGTCCTTACATTACAAGCAGGGTAAATTATTTCCTTATGATCTAAAATGACAGAAACCGCATATTCTTATCGAAAAGATTTTTTCAAAAATTAAATGGAAATAGGGGTAATATTATGTATAATAAAAGGTTGTTTGCATGGTGTAGTGTACAATTGTTATGTTGTAAATATCAGTTGTTAAACTAACAATTGCATAATACATAATTATATATACTTAGTACAAATATATAAAATTTGTTCAGTCTAAAGTAATTTCAGTGTGTATCAATTATTTAGGAGTTACTGTTTACATTATTATGTACATATTTATTATAGGTATCTAGGGCCATAAACTTCCCAAAGTTTAATTCCCAAAAGTGGAAGTAATCAGGTTGTTTTTTTGATTCCAAAAAGGGGGAAGCTAATATTGTTTGATTCCCAAAATTGGAACATAATTTTGTTTGATTCACTAAAGTGGAAGTTTATCTTGTTTGACCCCATAAGAGGGAAGATAATCTTGCTTGATGCCAGAAGGAGAAGATAATCTTGTTTTATTCCCAAAAGAGAAAGATAATCTTGTTTGATTTCCAAAATGGGAAGACGATCTTGTTTTGAATTTCCATTTATATGATCTTTCATGTTTAGAAGCTATGCAGTTTTTATCAAGTTCCAACTTTGTGTCTTATGCAGATGTTCATATGTGATCTTTCTCACTTTAACCCCTCCAGTATAATTGTGTAATTGGCCTGCTTTGACTTTGAAAATATCCATTGACTTATGTTAGAAGGGATTTCAATTTCAAAATGATAAAATTGATATCAACATAGTAAAATTTATATAAAAATGGTATCAAAATTGAGCAACTAACAGGCTAAAAAGTGAGGTCACAATGCACTGATACTTGTTGTTCTGTATAGCAAAGGCAAATTTTTATATATGTATAAACCAGTAATAGCATAATATTAGTAAAGAATAGTGAAGAGCATATGCGTGACTTACAATGTTATTCATACTGTGATAGCAGAAATGTTACATTGCATATTTTAGCTTGCATATTACTATTTAAATAGTTTTAAAAATCACATAAGGCTTCACACATTTTACAGTAACTATGGTGATGTTGGAATCTTGTGTATGTATCATTGTATATAAAAAATTTTGCTTCTAAATTTAGCTGCTGTAATGCGTATAAAGAATGTCATGAATATGTGTATGTATATACGGGGACTACTTTATGGTTCTTAAGTTTGTTTGTACTAAACATTTTCTTTTTTGGTACTAATTTTGTTTCAGAAGTAATGCATGAGTTTAATGTTCTGGTTATAAAAGGTGATGGGGAAGTTAAAAAGTTTGTTATTGATGGTGATAATGATTTTGTTTTAGTTATCAAGTAGTTAAGCTATGTTTAAATAAGGCACCTTTGGCCATTTGTTGCACCCACCTACCTCAAAGTGAGAGCATTGTATTTGAACAAAGCATTACTCTCACTAATCATACCAGTAACCAGAAGAAACCAAGTCTAATAGACAATTTTCTCCCACTGCTGATTCAGAAATCAAATTGGATTAGAAGTCACTAAGTCAGTCATTTGCAGAAAAATGATTATTACTGGTTAGTATTACAGGAAGGGTGCTTAGATTGACCAGCAAAATAAATACAAAAGATGAAGTAAGAAAAAGGTACTGACTTTCAATTACCCTCACTGTTGTGGCTTTTATGTATATCATTGGTTCTACCAAGTTTTTTTTATTTTGATGAAGGGCTCCTGATGTCTCCATCCAATACTTATAGTGAAGTTGGATTATGAATTGCCATATTATTATATGACTTAATATATACTATATTTTAAATTTAAATTGACTTTCAGAAGTCTTTTCTCATACCGTGTATTTCTTGCTTTGATATTAAGCTTAAGATTATAAGTTCATATATAATTGAAGAGTATTTTATATTTTTTAGGCCTGAAGATGTTAAATATAACAATGAACAGTATGTAGAGATTTACACATGGCTGCTAAACCTTTTCTATTTTCACAGCTTTTACTAACAAATTACATTGAAATGCTGTTTTCTCAAGAAATAATATTTCTGATTCTATTTTAAAAACTTTTAATGCATTAGCCAGTAATAGTGACTGAATGTAATAAATAGGAGTTCAGAATGCTGTGATTCAGATAATCATTTCATATTGGTCATTTTCAAATCTGATTCAACCAATCAATTATTAGAGTTTGAATTTAGAAGTCATACTTGTGAAAGAGTTCTGTTTCTTGTGAATGATTATAAAGGTCATAAATTATACAGTCTGGCTATTTTAGTGTGTGCTTTCTATCATAAGTATTTTTGGCCACTTAAGGGCCTTAGTTACTTAGATTATTCATCTTTTAACTGTTCTATCTGTTTGTTATGAATTATTAATTACATACTGTTACATGTTCATGTATCATATAAATACAACAACAAAGTAGTACAAATTTAATTTCTTTTCTTTTCTCTGTGATTCTTTATTAAAATTTTCTCTGCCATGAAACATCTGTATTTTTACATTTAACATTTAAATACATGTATAAATTTTACTGTAAAATGATTGGGGGAAGATGAACATCTTATTGCCTCAAAATTGGTTGGTGATTATGTATGCATAATTTAAGAAATAGACTACAAGGGTTTATTGACATATACATATGTTTCCATTGCATTTGAAGGATTGTCATATTTATTTTTACAGAAACTGTTAGATCCTAAATTGTTTCTTTACTTACTTGAGCTTTAAGAATTGTTTGATTATCTGACAAGTCAGTTATAATTGTTGGATTCAGATACTGCCATCTTTGATTTCTTCTCATACTTCTGCTTTACAAGCTTAGAATTATATACGGATAGGGTTTATACATGTATATATTCTTACTATTAAGTAAATGTTATATTTACTGAGCTTTTCTTATATATAGATAAATAGTAGTATTGCTATTTCAACTAAACCAAAAAAAAATACATGTGATATATAACATGTTTGTTGCTCCGGTTCAAGCATGTAGATTTAGATTGACCAAGACATATGGTTATGATTTTGTAAAATAGTAAATATGTATCACACTTAAATGTAATGCGAATGAAAGTTACGTCACAATCTGTGAATATATTATAATGAAATTATAGTACATAGATCTAATTTAATCTTTACAAAGATTTTTCCATCCACTCTTTATCACCATAATTATAATTATATATAGAAAACTGACTGAAATGATATTATTACCTTTTGAAGGAAAAAGAAAGAGAGAGGAGAACTTCCAGATAAAGAGTTTGTTGCTAGGCGATCAGTACTGACGTAAGTTATTACTATCAATATTTAAATGCTTACGTTTTTCTTGCTCATCAAATTTTAAACTGTGATTCTCCTTTTGTAAACCCTTTCTTTGACATTTTTAAGTATGAATTTTTAAGTTTAAAATTAAAAGTTTTCTCTGCTTTAAGATATGAAGTGATATACTAACAAAACCCTCCATATATGTCCTCCTATATAGCGGGACTTTAGGCCATGTTCCTGTAGTACGTCTCAGTGTCTACACAATTGGTTCAAATTTAGCACTAAAATATGTCAATTTTGCATTGCTAGACATTCAGCTGGCATTACTGAAGTTCCCATTTACTAAAGTTTTGATAATCTAAATGTCAAAGTATGTCTATAGTGTACTAAAAATGTTCATGCTATGTTTTTCTTAATTTCAGAGATTTGTTTGAGATCAGTCATATACGAAGTATATACCATGTGTTTGTTGCCATTCTCATCATCTTCTCTATCAACACTATACTCATGGATATTGTGGAGAAAGGCTCGTAAGTACCAATTGTCAGCTAAATGGCAACATTGACTTGCTAATATGTCACCAGTATAGAGCCAGGTCGACCTGTACCTTAGTGCAGTTTAATCAGACTTTATACTGACTGGCTACTAAAATTTATTATTATTATACAGAAATCCCTTTGAATATTGAATTACTGATCTTACTATTGTAGCTAATACAGGTGCAATTTATTAATAAATTCTAGGGTTTAATATATATGGAGCATAGAAGCATGCATTGAGATTATATAAGAAGCCTTCTTATGGGTTTGAATCTGACTATATGGAAAAAAAAACATGGAAAAAAAAAACTTTACAAAAAGTACCTTTCACAATTTCAATATTTTTTTTACAGACTAGGACTTGAATTCAACCTTTTAACATGGGGTTTAGGTAAATTTCCAAAAGTGGTCTCCCTTTGGTTATGTATGCAGTTTAGTACATTGATAATTGTCTACCCTGGATTTTATGGCTGGAGTGTTTATAGACCAGAAGGAAAAGCAGGTAAGCATTTGTTATTACAGTCAGGACTCATTACAACGACACTGTTTGTTCCCAAAGGATATGTCAGTATATCGAATTTGTCAGTATATTGAATTTCATCATTTATCATGTAATGATATGCTTATTCACTGGTATCTGAACATTATGTATTTTGATCTATAATAAACATCAAGCTATAATGAAAAAGATTTTTGTGTATTTATGTGTTCACTTTATTATACACATTACATGTCATACACATAATACAACAACTTTCTAAAATAATAACAACTAAAATAGTTAAAAAGAGATTGATATGAAAATGATAAAACTTTATAAAATAAAAAAGTACTTACAATGATGGGACTTTTAACAGTAAAACTTTTAAAAATAAAATTGATTGCACACTGTTTGTTGTCTTTGTCAATTAACGAAAAAAGTCTTTGATACCTTTATATGAATTATTTCGGTTTTTTTTTTTTTTTGTTCAAAAGTTAAATAAGTGTGTTGACGTTTAGCTGGAGGTTCTGCCATTATTTTAATAAAAAGTCACAAGTTGGCAAGTGTAACAAAATTCAGCTGACAACAACACGTTGGTATTGTAATAAGGTGTAAAAATCAACTGACCAAGCTACAATACCTGTTTTAACACCTTGCGTCTTTTGGTCACGCCTCAATGATACGTGCGCATGACTGACCAAGTGTCAGTTTAACGGGTACTGATTGTATAGAAAATAATACGTTTGGTTTCCAATTTTATTGAGTCGGAGTCGGAATACGAATTTTCCGTTATAAAGGGTTATAATAACGTTGAAAAAATTTGGTTTCCACCAATTCACTGTCGTTATTTGAATTTGTCAGTATAATGGATTCCGATGTATTGAGTCCTGACTGTATATTATTATTCTCTTTATTATAAGCAAGCTACAGAACTAGCTAACTGAAGTTGCTTCAACTAGAGTGCTTTCACATGCCTGAAAATATGCACAGAGAGTAAATTATCTTACACAAGTTAAAGCCAGAAAGAACCATTGTTGTTCTTTCAGATTATTATCAACCTTTAGCCTTCTGGTGGCAACTAATTATACCAATGCAGACCAAAATCAGATTGACAAAAGATGGACATGTCTATTAAAAATTTTAGGCATTGAGTAATGTCTACTCAATATATTTAGTTTTAAGTTACTGAAATCTCATTATGATAAGTTTTTGAAGTAAAAACAAAGGGTTGTCAACTGTACAAATTTAGGAATATAATGGTAGTTTGTAGTTATTATATATAAATTTCCATTTATATTTTGTAGGTTTGTTTGACTATGTAGGGCTAGCCCTGTATGTCATTTACCAGAGTTTCTTTATGGTCATACCTGTTGTATACATATTTGAAAATCAGATACCACCTGGGTCAGCTTGCATCATTACATGTGAACAGGTAAATGTTTTATACTATCATCTACATTATGTTTCTTTTAACTATTATCTAGTCTATAGCTGTAGAAATGAAATGGTCAACAGTTCATGTCTATTTTTGGACAAACTACAATGAAATAAAGAAGCTTTCCTCATGTAAACACATCTCTGTAAACGAATTTAAACAGATGAAAGAAAAACCCTATGAAAGTGATATAATGTTATGTAAATACTATAAATACAGAATTATCTTGGCCTTGTTTCAGTAACAGGTCATTCATGATAAACAGTTTTCTACTAAAATGTTCAAATATACATAAAAGCATCTTTTTTGTTGTTGCTTGAATATGAAGATAGTTTGCTAATTAAGTCTGTTACTAAGGACTAACTAGTACTAGAGTTATTTCTGAGATGACCAAAGTTGTAAAGATATTTTTCAACTCAAACTACAGTAAAAGTTAAGAAAAACGGACAGCTTTCGGACCGAGGGTTTTGTCCGGTTTTCTCAGCGGTTCGGTTTTCTCAATGTCCCCTTAAGAATCCTATGTACCGAGCACTGACTTACAACGGGTGTTGTATATTTGCATTTTCATGATCATATGTACATAAATTGCTGAAGAAAAGATAAATTACAAAGTAACATGTTTTATTTATTTTTGTCACTTTATTGCATCTAAATACAATAAAATTTTGATTTAAAACAAACACCAGTTACCTCATAATGATACAGTCCTATTATATCCGCACATGTTTACGTTTGGGTACTGGGATAATTATTTAACGAACATAGTTTACTTTGTTTATTTTTAATAATACCCCCTTCCACTGTAAATATTGCCGATGCATTATTTAAAGATTTGGTAAAGCTTCACTGTCTTTAATTAATTCAACTTGGTCACCTACAGAAAGCTATCATCGAATTCTTTTTGGCGATGGAATAGAACTTGACGCAGATAATGTCTTTTTCGTTGCATTGATACTTTGGGAAATGAATATAAAAAAGCAACGCAGTATAAAACTACTCAATTTTTATACCCCCAAAAACGAAGTTTGGGGGGGTATATAGGAGTCACCCTGTGGTCGGTCGGTCGGTCGGTCGGTCGGGCGGTCGGTCGGGCGGTCCAGACGTCCGTTGCATTTTCCTTGTCCGGAGCATAACTTGAAAACTAATGGTTGGAATTCAATATAACTACATACAATGGTCAAGCACATTGAGAGGAAGTGCAGTGCACAAGAACCATAACTCTATCTTGACTAATTACAGAGTTATTGCCCTTTGTTACTTTTCCTTGTCCGGGGCATAACTTGAAAACTACTGGTTGGAATTCAAAACAACTTCATACAATTGTCAAACACAATAAGGGGAAGTGCAGTGCACAAGAACCATAACTCTATCTAAAGTAATTACAGAGTTATTGCCCTTTGTTGCTTTTTCATTGCTTTTTTTTTTGTCCATTGCATTTTCCTTGTCCGGAGCATAACTTGAAGACTAATGGTTGGAATTCAATATAACTACATACAATGGTCAAGCACATTGAGAGGAAGTGCAGTGCGTAAGAAACATAACTCTATCTTGACTAATTACAGAGTTATTGCCCTTTGTTACTTTTCCTTGTCCTTGGCATAACTTGAAAACTACTGGTTGGAATTCAAAACAACTTCATACAATTGTCAAACACAATAAGGGGAAGTGCAGTGCACAAGAACCATAACTCTATCTAAAGTAATTACAGAGTTATTGCCCTTTGTTGCTTTTCCATTGCCTTCTTTTTTTTGTCTGGACCATAACTTGAAGACTAATGGTTGGAATTCAATATAACTACATACAATGGTCAAGCACATTGAGAGGAAGTGCAGTGCATAAGAACCATAACTCTATCTAAAGTAATTACAGAGTTATTGCCCTTTATTACTTTTCCATTGCTTTCTTTTGTCCGGATCATAACTTGAAGACTAATTGTTGCAATTCATTATAACTTCATACAATGGTCCAGCACATTGAGAGGAAGTGCAGTGCACAAGAACCATAACTCCATTTTGACTTATTACAGAGTTACTGCCCTTTGTTTCTTTTCCTTGTCCAGAGCATGACTTTAAAACTACTGGTTGGAATTCAAAACAACTTCATACAATGGCCAAGCACAATAAGGGGAAGTGCAGTGCACAAGAACCATAACTCCATCTTGACTAATTACAGAGTTATTGCCCTTTGTTACTTTTCCATTGCTTTCTTTTGTCCGGACCATAACTTGAAGAGTTATTGTTGGAATTCATTATAACTTCATACAATGGTCAAGCACATTGAGAGGAAGTGCAGTGCATAAGAACCATAACTCCATCTTGACTAATTACAGAGTTACTGCCCTTTGTTACTTTTCCTTGTCCAGAGCATGACTTGAAAACTACTGGTTGGAATTCAAAACAACTTCATACAATGGTCAAGCACAATAAGGGGAAGTGCAGTGCACAAGAATCATAACTCCATCTTGACTAATTACAGAGTTATTGCCCTTTGTTACTTTTCCTTGTCCAGAGCATAACTTGAAAACTACTGTTTGGAATTCAGTACAACTTCATACAGTTGTCGAGGACATTAAAAGGAAGTGCAGTGCACAAGAGCCATAACTCCATTTTGACAAAATACAGAGTTACTGCCCTTTGATACTTTTCCTTGTCCGGAGCATAACTTAAAACGTACTGGTTGGAATTCAAAACAACTTCATACAATGGTCAAGCACAATAAGAGGAAGTGCAGTGCACAAGAACTATAACTCTATCTTCAGTATTTATAGAGTTATTGCCCTTTGTTCTTTTTCTTTGTCTTTCTGGACTTATTACAGAGTAATTCAATTAAACTTCATCAATGGCCAACCATTGAAAGGAAATGCAACATACATGAACCACAATTATCTTTAATTGCCCACAACCATAACTCTATGTTTCAATTCTATTACAAGGTATTCTGTTACTAGTTACATCCTCATTTCCGAAGCAGACTTGTGGGGGTATTAATCACATTTAGTGATAGTTCTAGTTTTATTTATACTGATTTTAACTTACCAATTCCGCGTACATTTTGGCATTAATATAAAACGGTAACATCTATGCCCTACAATAACTCAAACTGTGAAAACGGACATAATAAACAAATCAGACAATCAGTGTCCCATTACTGCTCAGTTAGCATTTTAGGCACAACCAAATGACAAGTACACAAGTATATTCACACCTTCGCCGTCCAATATTGTCAGGGTAATTATCTATATAATTGACTTCACGGTCCCCTATCAACCGTCCGATATTCTGTTTTTACAGATTCCAGTATTGTCAATGTTTAATGCAAAAGTTTAACAAAGAGAAAATTTGGGACTGAATTAATCGTCCGGTATTTAGAGAGTTCCGATTTTCTCAGCGTCCTGTTTTCTCAACTTTCACTGTATTTGACTGGTCTGAAACAGGCACAGAATGTACACTGAATCAAACATGTTTATTATCATATCTATTAAATATTTCATGATGTGTTATATTTTCAGTTGAGGTTCATGATGAAATCCCATGCATTTGTCAGAGAAAACTTTCCGAAGGTTTTGGAATATAACAGCAAAGGTATCTCACATTTTTGCTCAGTTATAAAATGTTTGAGTTAGTTTTTGGCTATACGTTATCATTAAGAACTGATACTTTGTACATTTAAGGTAGTAATTACTTATATTTGGATGTTTGAAGTGTTTCAGACAAAAATTTAAAGAAGATGGAACCATATACAGGTTCCAATTATGAACATAGATTATTACTAGGAACCATGTACTGCTTCTCAACTTAAACAAATTAAAGTTTCTCCTAAAACAGACAACAGATAGTCTTCACATTTCTGCGAGTGTTTCAATACTTTTAAATGGTTAAAGTACACCATTTAAATTATTATTAATGTATTTTAATACAACAAAGTCATTGTTCTTGTTCTTGTATGATTACAATTTGTAGCATTTAAATTTAGTCTCCTGATGTAAATAAAATGATTTTCACCTAGAATGTAATACATAATTGGTAATCATTACATTCAGTCAAAGAAACTGATAGAAAGTAACAAACAAACAAACAAAAAATGGAAAAAAGGATGGGTTAAGTGCACATGAAGATGAAATTTGTACATATGTCAAAGCAAGTTTCAGGGTTTCTTTATCAATTCCTAATTTTCTAGCATTATTATTATTTAACAAATGTATATATTTCAGATAGTAAAGATCATGACAGAGCTGACCTATGTCCAGATTTCTCCAAATATTTGTACTTCTTGTTTGCACCTACACTTATATACAGAGACAATTATCCCAGGTAATTTTATTTATTTTCTTTGCTTAAGTAATGCTTACTGATTGCTTATTGTGGGTTATAGAGTCCAATGATATTTTTCAGGTTTTATGTCTTGAAAGCACTCACATGTGCCCACTTATGTTTAACCACTGACTTTTGTTATGCTATTAGGATTTCTTCCTGGAATGAAAGTTACTTTTCCAAACAGACTTCAAACTAAGTGTGTAAAGGTAGTTTTGAACATTTTACCATAAATGTTGGGCTTTAGGTCAGTTAACATTGTACAGCGCAGAATTTTCCTTATCTGTTAAGGGAGGTAATATTGTCAATGAACATTCATAACATCCTTAACCACTTTGTCTGGAGGCTTTAAAAAAGAGCTGTCAAAGTTTTCATGTTCAACGTTAAGAAAATGTTAGTGATAACTTATTTTCCTCTTTGTATTATATGCATACTCTTTTATTTCTTGATATTGTTTATTCCAGAACGGCAACGATACGTTGGGGATATGTTGTTAGCAATTTTGCTCAAGTGTTAGCCTGTACCTTGTACATTTACTACATATTTGAAAGATTTTGTGTGCCGGTGTTCCGGAATTTCAACAGAGATCATGTTTCAGCAAAATTATTTATCACCTCTGTGTTCAGCTGTATGCTACCTGGAGCATTAACTTTATTACTAGGTAATTATAGCATAATTATACTTGTGTTTCTGTTTTTTTTAACATTCAGATTTTTTTTTTAACGAATGTAATTGCTGGTTTTTAAAGTTGTTCTACTCTTTGTTTCTCCCATTTTATACTTACACTGGAGCCGTGATATAGCGCTCATGTTGGGGTCCATGATATCAAGACAGCGTTGTAACGAGTAACTTTTTATAACGCTCATTTTGTAATTATAGCGAAAATATCGCATTACCCCACCCACCGCCGAAACATATAACGCTTGTTAGTGGAAATGATTGTTTACTTACCTTCCAATGGATATCAGTCCAAGCTTTTTTATATATTATTATTAATCATTTTGTAAAGCATTATTGAATATCTTTAATATAAACATGAAATTTACGAATTAAAAATATAAACCACGAATGAATGTTTATAAATTTCCAGTAAAACAGCGGTGTTAACATGAGTTATGTGTGGTCATGAAAATTGATAGCTAGTGGATGGGACTAAATTAATCGTCTTTCCTGCTGTCTCTTGTGAAAAAATCAGTCATCCTCAACAACTTTTTTGCAGATAGATCGAAAGTGCATGCTTTTTAAAATTAATTGTACGCTTGGGTGATTTACTTAACTCGTCGGTGTTTGCATGTCTTAGCTAACAGTTTGATACCTGACTGATCAACACTTAAAAATGAACAAAAGAGCAGATTAACGCTTACCTTTGTATGACTTCACACCTTCTTATCATGAGTGACGTAATTATGACTGTTTATTGCACTCGACTGACACATTGAACAAGCGTGATAGTGGATAAGGTGCGGTATTGATATACATGAAAAAAAAATTATAATCGGCGAAAAATACGATTTTTTTTTGGGAGCCAAGGCATATGAGCGTTCTACTGAGATTAGCGCTATACCGAAGAGCGCTATTTCGCGGCTCCAGTGTATAAACCTTTTCTTATGGTATTTTCATTTTTAGAACATTTTTGTATGTGGATAATATGCTATTTTTTATTTGCAAAATATTATTATTATTATTTAAGTAATTGTCTGTTTTAGAAGAAACTTTTAAGTTCAAGTTTAGAAGAAGTACATGGTTCCTAGTAATAATCTATGTTGAAGTAAGGAACCTGTACATGGTTCCATTTCTTGGAATTTGGCTGAAACACTTCAATTTCCAAAATATAAGAAGAAACATTATACCAATAGTTATCAAATAAATGTATATTGACTGAAAGTTTTACCTCTGTTATTGTACACTGAATCTTTAATATTATTGTTTATGTACTTTTGTAGGCTTTTTTGCAATACTACATTCCTGGTTGAATGCTTTTGCTGAAATGTTACGTTTTGCTGACAGAATGTTTTACAAGGTAAGTAATTGTGTTTAGTTTATAATAACTAAATAAAATTCTTAGGAAGATTAAAAAAGCTTATCCCCACTAGTTTAGTTTATGGAATTATATTTCCTATTGGTATATGTGTCTACGCTGAACCTTCATTAGAATTTAGAACCAAGTTTATGATAACAAAAAAGCAGAAAAAATTCTTCGCCAAATACATGAAAGCACACAATCTCAGTGATAACTTCTTTGCCTTCAAACAAAGCAACCTATGTCCTAGAGGTCTGTGCATCTTACTGTAGCCATGAGTTAAGATTGATTCACTATGGCAACAAATACACCTATTACCACATTCCTCCAAGTGGGGATCAATATATTTATGTAGGATTGGAACAATCCCCCAGCCTATACCCCCAAGTTTATAATTAGTTGAACAATGTTAGAAAATAATTTTTAGGCCAGTCTTAAGTTGTTGAAGAAATGAGCATAAATTTGAAATTGATAATGATTAATTTAGACTCTCAAAAAGAGATAATAGTTTCTGAATATATATTTGTACTTTATTTAAAATAATCACATGCTTTATTTAATCACTAGGATTGGTGGAACACAACATCATTTGCCAGCTATTACAGAACATGGAACATTGTAGTACATGACTGGCTTTATACATATGTATATAAAGATTTTTGCAGAGTAAGTTATACTTTATACTTAGTAATTATTAATAGATATTAGTTATAAAGTCACATTTGCTAGAAGGATTATTTTCAAGGTGTTTAAATGACTATATCTTCTCTATGTGACTAAACTATATCTGTGAATGTTAGCCGCAACCATTATTTACTTTCACAACGAACGAAGAAATTTTGAAAATGGCCCTCATCGTACAGAAATCAAAACTAGGTCGCCTGCTTCACAGTCCAAAGCTCTACCAATTAAGCTAAAATGGCAATTCTATTCTGCCTGGCCAGGTTCTATTCTTTTTATAGCTAAATGATGTTTTCATATTGATATTGTCCATGTAACAGCAGACAGTTCCAAAAATAATAGACACACAAGAGTTGCACAAATCTTGCAGGATCAGGGTTAAAAAAATTTAGAAAAAAAAATACACAAAAAAACATTTAATAGCATAATGTATTGTATTATTGTATTACTAGTATATGTATGATGTTGTTTATTGATAGTATTGAAATTATTTCAGGTTCTGGGACCAAGATATAGGAGTTTGTCAATGGCATTGGTATTTCTGATATCTGCTGTGGTACATGAGTATGTCATAGTGATGGCCCTTGGCTTCTTTTATCCCGTCTTGTTTTTTATGTTCATGGGAGCTGGTTGTAAGTTTATTATATAAAAAGAAAACTATAATTGTGTTTTGTTGAATTATATGAGGAGACTTATAAAGCTTTATATAATGAAATATCATTAAATTTATAAAAAAGTAGAATTATGTTGTTTCCATAACTTTATGGTCAATTCTGAAATGATTTGTAATATAAAATGTCACTATTGTTTAACATAAATAAATATTGTAAGTTATGTTCTGGAACAAAATGTTATGCTGCTTTTTTAAATGGGATTTTAACCATTTATCATTGTACATTTGCATGTGTTCCGTTTTAATCATTTAAAACAAAGCATTCATGAAAATACAATAAAATGCAAATTTAATACTTGTATTTTAAAATTTTGTTTCAGTTGGTTTCATCTTTGTGAAAGGCACAGGACGGAGTTGGAATGTCTTTTTATGGCTGGCTTTATTTATGGGAATGGGAGTTTTATTCTGTGTGTACAATATGGAATGGTTTGCAAGACAAAATTGTCCAGAAAATTATGTAAGTCCATGTATTGTAAATTGTATTTGGTCTCACATTAGTTGTTCAATACAAGGGTATTTGTCTATGAGTTAGGACTTGAAATTTGCTTCAGACTGGAAAGAAAAAGTTCAAAATTAAATACTATTGTTATTTTTGTACACATTGTTTGGTTGCATTAAGAACAATTTGGATAGAAGGTTTCTAGTTTCAAAGGCTAAACAAGTTTTCCAAGGGTTGGTGGTTCTACCGAGGTGTTGCAAAATTGCGAAAGGTTTTGATGGTAAAAAAAGACTTAAAATCAAGTTTACTAATAAAATAGAATAGAAAACTAGTTACAAAAACATCAAGAAAAGTGTCTTAATATCTCACAAATGTTTTCCTTTCTTGTGTAAATTGTGATGATTCAAATACTGTGGATTATTAAACGTGATGTTACAATGTAGCTATCCAGTTAGTTCAGGGAACATCAGTGGTTCTACAAAGGTGCCTGCTCATGCCTGAAATAATATATGAAGGGACACCTAACTGAGGTGTTCTTCCTCCGGTAAAGGTAGAAAGTCGCTATATGACCTTTACGGTGATGGTGCGACATTAAAAAAATAATTAGTTGATACAAAATCTTTGAAGACTCGATAATTTGTTACCTGCCTTTAACCTGAATCAAAGTACAAATTATAGAAATCTACATGATAATTAAGATGTAAAGTGACACAATAAACATTCATTCCTCTGAAATATGTATATCTTACCAAACTTGATTGCTGGCCACATGGATTCAAACCCTGTCAGGGGCAAGTCATTGTGTCCTTGTGCAAAAAATTTTACCATCATTGCTTAGTACTGACTGGTTCCAGGAACAGATTCCAGAATGTGTTTAGAAAGTTAAAGATTTATTCACAATCATACTAAGATAATTTCTGTATAAATTTAATTTGATTGAAAATTCTATTTTCAGGATCATTTTATGGATTATGTTGTACCACGATCATGGACGTGCAACTTTGATGCCATGAAAAGTAACACAGAATCCTGACTGACATAGAAATACAGATTTTATTTAAGTCTCATACATGTAAAAAAACAACCAAAAAATGCCAAATTTTTAATCCTGTGAAATTATCATTTTTATTGAAGATTTTTGTATGTTAATATTACATAAGATTGAACAATATAATAACAATAATGATTGTTGATATGCTAAAATGTAGATGTATTTATGTCCGAACAAAATTAAAAATTTTGATCAAAACATTTTTTTAAAATAAATGTGTTTTACAACAAGTGTGTAATTATAACTGTTTTTTGTGTAGAACATTTAGAAATTTCACAAATATTTTTATTTGATACAGACTTCCATTGCAGCCAACACAAAAGTTTATGATTTATAGAGAACATGCATTGGTTCCAGTTTTATGAAATGCTAGCTGTAATCTAATGTACTTTTAATTTATCGTTTTTCATTTTGCTTGATTTTGTTTGAACAAGAACATTTGATGCATTTATAGTAACCTTTTCATGCATAATATCTTTAGTAGCTTTAAATATTAAGGTTTAATATTTCTATTTAGAAGATTTTGAATTAAAATACTTATGATTAAAAAAATTAGGCCCTTCTCTGTGTACATTTGTACTGGTCTGGATGAAATACAAAATTTTGACAAACATTATACATATAATTAACTATGTATCACAACATTGTTAAAACTATTTTTTACTTGCTGCCTTGGGTGTCTGTGGCAGAGTTGTTAACGTCTTTGATTTCAAAGCATTTGCCCCACGCAGCTAAGGTTTTCCTCCACCAGTAAACTTTGAAGTTGGCATATGACCTTAACAGTGTTGGTGCGACTTTAAACACAACAACAATAACTTTCACTGTCTTCAAAACCGTTTCACTAACACCATACTGTAGTTTGACTGCAAAAAAATTATACTTGTCTTTTATATCTGATAAAAGTTTAACTGATATATTTTTTTTCCACATTTGTATGACAATTAAAAGGTATTAAGTACAAGAATTAAGCCAAAACAATTAATTATTATTGACCTTAAATTGTTTTTTCTCATCCAATTATCTTTCAAGTTCAAATTTATTTGAAGAAATGCTTTGCAATGTTATCAATATATGTTTTATTCAAGTATGAGATTGACTTAAACATTTTAAAATTTACAGTCTTGCATTGTATTAATGTTGTATTTTTTGTGTTTTTATTTTCCATTTTCCATCATTGTGTTTGTATGTCTATTTTTATTTTGAAGAATTTTGTCAAGTCAGAAGTTATAGATAGATATGTATATATAGAAATGTTGCTGGACAATATTTTGGTGTGTTGCATTTGTGTATTTATTGATCTTGCATGTATAATTAATTATATATGTAATTATGAATAAGAAATTCTGTAAGAGGGAAGTTACTAATGTAATAAATGAAATGGTAATGTTACTGTAGAAAATATGTGAATAAATGTAAACATTTTAGTAAAACAAATAGCTATAGCAAAAATTTTGCCTCTTGCATTTTTAGCTCACCTGTCACAAAGTGACAGGGTGAGCTTTTGTGATCGCTTTTCGTCCGGCGTCCGTCGTCCGTCCGTCGTCCGTAAACTTTTACTTTAAATGACATCTCCTCATAAACCACAAGGCCAATTTCATCCAAACTTCACAGGAATGTTCCTTTGGTGGTCACCTTTAAAAATTGTTCAAAGAATTTAATTCCATGCAGAACTCTGGTTGCCATGGCAACCGAAAGAAAAAACTTTAAATATCTTCTTTAAAAAAACCATAAGAGCTAGAGCTTAGAATATTTGGCATGAAACATCTTCTAGTGAGTGTCTACCAAGTTTGTTCAAATAAAAGCCCTGGGGTCAAAATTGGCCCCGCCCCGGGGGGTCATTGATTTTCCCTATATGCATATAGTAAAAACTTAAAAAATCTTCTTTTAAAGAACTCAAAGAGCTATGGCTTAGATATTGAGCATCAAACATGTTCTAATAGGTGTCTACCAAGTTTGTTCAAAGAAAAGCCCTGGGGTCAAAATTGGCCCCGCCCCAGGGGGTCATTGATTTTCCCTATATGCATATAGTAAAAACTTAAAAAATCTTCTTTTAAAGAACCAAAAGATTTAGAGCTAAGATATTTAGCATTAAACATGTTCTAATAAGTGTCTACCAAGTTTGTTCAAATAAAAGCCCTTGGGTCAAAATTGACCCCGCCCCGGGGGGTCATTGATTTTCCCTATATATGCATATAGTAAAAACTTAAAAAATCTTCTTTTAAAGAACTCAAAGAGCTATGGTTAAGATATTTAGCATCAAACATGTTCTAATAGGTGTCTACCAAGTTTGTTCAAATAAAAGCCCTGGGGTCAAAATTGGCCCCGCCCCGGGGGTCATTGATTTTCCTTATATGTGTATAGCAAAAACTTAAATTTTTTTTTTGAAAAAACCCAAATAGCTAGAGTTAAGATATTAAGCATGAAACATCTTTTAGTGAGTGTCTACAAAGTTTGTTCAAATAAAAGACCTGGGGTCAAAATTGGCCCCGCCCTGGGGTCATTGATTTTCCTTATATGTGTATAGCAAAAACTTAAAATCTTCTTTGAAAAAACCCAAATAGCTAGAGTCTAGATATTAAGCATGAGACATATTCTAGTAAGTGTTTACAAAGTTTGTTCAAATAAAAACCCTGGGGTCATAACTGGCCCGGCCCCAGGGGTGTCATTGTTTTTAACTATATGTGTATAGTAAAAACTTTAAAAAAATCTTCTTTTAAATAGCCCAATGAGCTAGAGCTTAGATGTTAAGCATGAAACATCTTCTTATGGGTGTCTATCAAGTTTGTGCAAATAAAAGCCCTTTGGTTAAATTGGCCCTGCAACGTTTGGGGGGGGGGGGTTGGGGGGGCCTATATACAGGTGAGCGACCTCAGGGCCATCATGGCCCTCTTGTTTGTCAAAAGAATGATTGTTTTACAGGAAAGTTATTTGATGCTGATAATTGAAATATTTGATGGAAACAGTGAAATATGATTCATATCAAATGTAATCTATTAGTCTTTGTTTCAAAGTATTGTTATTATTTTTAAACATAATTAAATATATTTGGGAATACTTTTAGATAAGATACTACTCTCCTCCTGAAAATATTAAGAAATTAATTGTGTTTTTTCTCAAGTGGGACGAATTTCATTAACATTCTCTATTTCTTGTTTTTTTTACTTTTTTAGACAAAATACCTTTAAAAGAGCTTCAAATTAGAATCTACTATACATATTTCATTGATGTTCAGAACAGTTCTTAACCCTTGATATGCTAGACACAATATTTTTGTTTGCCTTTGTTACTAATAGCACAAGAGTAGTCTGCACAACAATGCAGCACATTATCAGACTTTATACAGTCAGCTGCTCAAGTTTTTATTGAAATTCCTTGCATTTACAGTGGAAAAGTCCATATGCATAGCAATTTATCATAACATTTTATTGGAAAGGTAAGGGTAAAGTGTCATAATGGAATATTATTATACCTGTATGCCTAAAGCTGCATGCCTCCAGATAAGCCAAAATAATTCAAGAAAATCAAACTTGAAAAAAATGTGCTAAGATTTGAAGAAAAGTAAAAGGATTCAAGAAAGGATTTACATGTTATTTGCGATTCATGACAGATTTAGCAGTTTTATCACCATATTTCTTCTGAATGTCTAATGCAGTAAGGGCTATTTCTGCATATTTTGACAACTTTTTGGTAATTTTTATGGATTGTAACTGTCGTTTGCAATGTTTACTTACCTTGCTCTCTTCACAATATTTTACTTATAAATAATTTTTTAAGATTTTCATGAAAATAAGCATGAATCAGGTGGTATGCTGCCTTGAGCAGTTGTTCAGATAATGAGTAAATTTGTTTATACAGTCTTCATATGTCTGACACTATGTTGATCTATGTTATAATGTTTTGTTTTGTGCTGTACTCAAAATTGCGTATATCAATGATGTTTAACCATTTGCTCTAGTCTGATATTCTAGTATAACAAGTATAAATTTAAGCGTAAGAATTTGACTTTTATTTGTATTTAGTGAACCAATTTGTTTAGACAATCACTTGGAAATAAGTGATCATCTCATTGTATGTTATCTTATTTTACATGGATTGAATTACTGAAATATAAAATTTGTTTTTGTAGATGTCTTTATATTTTGTTATATTTTGCAATGTGCAATACTTAAGAATCATATTAATATATTCTGTTTATTTTACTTGATGTCGCATTAGGAATCATACATTGATCTCCCAAACATTTATCATACTGGAATTAATCTGTAAATTCATGATATCAGTTTAGTTTTTGAATTATTACTGAAACATTATTCCTTTCATTACAATTTTGAAAAAAGAATTGTTTCTTATTTGGACCTCTCTAGAATTTATTTTATGCTTCTCATAAGAACTGATTTTAAAGAAATGTGGAATTATTGACCTAGAATTTGTAAATTTTATTGGAACAATTTTGGAAGCAAGTGTTATAATATAGTATGTTAACGTAGAGCCATTTTCAACATTATCTTTAGCAGTTACGATATAAGTATCTTAAACAGTTTTAGGAGAAACTCATTTTATTAGGAAAATTCTACATCAACTTTGTACTTGAACACTTGACGAGCACCAGTTAAATAAGTTATAACCAAAAGCATATATTTTGAAACTTAAAATTTTCATGCATCTGTAATATATATTAAATGGTATAATGATGTATGTGCAAACATTTTATAGGTTTAAATAAAATGCAATTAACATCCAATGTTTATGATTGTTATATGTAGTTGTGTTCTCCTAAAATAGACAAGATCTTCTGCAAATAAACTTCTTCTTTTAAAAACTGTGTTCTCTTTTTATGGGAGTGAGAGTCTAGACAGTGCCTTAATAGAGAAAGTGGCATAGCAACATAAGATGATTAAATAAAATGTTTCATGTTTTGTTTTGGTTATGGTACCAAAAGACTTTGTCGTACAACTTTTGTCCAACATTTCCTATACACTTGCATCAAACCTACAAACAAACCAATCGTTCAGGTAGACGATAGTCACGTGTTTGGCGCTCAGCAATAAACCATCTGAAATCCATCTACTTTGAAAAGTCTTTCTTTACATTTACACCTTGTATTATGATAACTGACGTACACTGCGTCGTTCATTTTTAAAGTCTTAACTTGAAATTAATTATTAACTTTTTTTCCGAAGATTTATTTGATGTTATTATGCGTGCAGAAACGAACACAAATGTTACAAACGCTCCATTAGTTTCTAACACCATCCCAGAAAACAAAGAAGAAACCCACTAAAATCAACCGAAATACAAACTGTATTGGCAAGGAAAAAGCTAAACAATGAACAAAATATCACGGGTCTCCACGGCTGCTTGACACGTTTTATCAAAAGTAGTTGCTTAATAAATATTTAGCCAATTCTTTACATTAAAGCGTTTAAATTCATATACTTGCATGTTCAATGATTTCAGCTACACATTTCAAATGTAATATGTCCATAGATCCTCATTGACAATCCAGACATAGTCCAGGGAAATAACCTAACATATCTCAATATTGCATTTTAAATGATATTATAGTGAATTTCTTTATCACTCAAGGTTTTTCTTACATCATAAGGCTAGAAATAAAAAAGATGTTTTACCAGCGAATGAAATGATTCAGGATCGATTATGTAACATTGTTGAAATGTTCCGCCGAAAATGTCCTAAACCTCTGATAATAAAGTTTTCCCAGTCAATACTGAATACCACTTCAAGCATGTATTGAGCTGTTTTTATAACCACCGTTTGCAGAGTACTCATATAATTATATTTCAAAGATACCATATACATTGATGTACATTGATCGCATTAGAATGATTGTTTCGTTCTTAATGAATTTGAATATGGAACTGAACACAATTGTGAGACTACAAAATGTACAATAATTACTTACATAACATATATATATAAATAAGAGAAAGAAACATTGTAACACAACAGAACAGTTTTCTATTCTGTCTATTTTGTTTTACTTAAAAACATGATATTTTTCTGCTACTTTTCCTTACTTTTTTGTCTAACTCCTACTTTTTTCCTCCTTTTTAAAAAAAAATATTCCTACTTTTCCTACTATTTTACTAATATTTATGAAACTAAAAAATGTATATAACAACATGTTTAAGTCTTTGCAAAATGAGATATGCTACATGATAAAAGGACTGATGGCATATACTGTTATATTCTTGTTCAGGTTCCTAAGTTGGCCTCTTTTGCAAGCTGGTGTCTTTCTAAATGTTTGTGAACCTAAGAGGCAAGTTGGAGTTAATAAAACATTTTGAACTTGTATTTTGCCTTTTATGTGAATTATGTGCACTGTATATAGAAATTCTACTATATGCCCAAATAATGTGCAAACTGACCGGGGGGGGGGGGGGGGGAGGTGGGGATTATGCACCTATCAATAGGTCTGGATACTAGGATGAGGATACCTTTTTTTGAAATATTTGAAATTTATATGAAATGTTATGTCTCTGTACAGAATTTACTCGTTCAGTAAGAAATAATGAAACATGCGTAGGATTTAAGAATTTCTTTCTGTTAAAAGTTTCTGATTATTTCTGTTTGCATTATAGGTGTGAGGAGAAATTCTTACTAAAACCTCAATTATGAGTAAAAGCAATTCTTCTCATTCAGAAAATCACTGATTAAAACAATTAAAAAGATATTTAGTAAAATGACAATGTAAGTAAAAGATATTGTTAATTTGCTGTGTCTTTTAACTAGTTGGTAACAAGGTATGGTAGGAAAATCTGAATTGACCAACTTGAGTTTGGCTCCACGAAGTAAGTCTAAAATTCGTGACAGAACTTTTGTTTTGCCTGCACCTTGATGTTTCAAATTATTCAGTTTTACATGCAAATAAAACTGAATAAAATGAAATAACTATAAACAATAAAACTAATTGGGGTATTATTGAGCACACAGAATATAGAACTTTTCATTAGAAAGATATTACTTCATATATTACGTAATTTATAAGTTTGCTTAAATAAAACTTTTCTACAGTACACATCAATGGTTCCAGTTAT